GCATTTTACTCCAATGAAGTCCAAATTTCAAGAGTTGAATCAGACGTCTGAAATTACCTTTCAACCAAATATCATGGATTATCTACACTATGTTTCACCTTCTTTAATTAAAATAACTGGACTTTTATTAAATTGGTTTGTATGAAGAACTTCTTAAAATGTTAACCTATACATTCTTCAGGTTTCATTAAAGAAACACTTTTTTTATAGCTTGACTTCTCGAGGTCATTTCCTTCACCTGCAACTGAAGAAAATGGAAAATCCAGAGAGACTCGCATCTGCTGACGGATTTTTTTCTGAATCACTTTTGTGCAGGTCACCCGTGACTTCCTTAAATGAGGTCTTTCAGGTGTGACTAAGAAGTATCCTGTATACAGCCAGGCAGTGAACCTGTACCTCTGAGGAGCAGGTCATAAATCTGCCGTCTTCTGGTGTAACTGTCGATGTCAATGTCAGTCTACTCCAACACACTGACCTCCTTTCAATTAAATCAGGATTTATGATACATTTACGATAAAGCCCAGGTGGACGTCAAATATAAGCTTCGTTGAGTAGTAGATGTGATCCGGCCTTCCAGATCATCATCCAGCTAAACAGGATCAGACAAATATGACTGACTGCATACACATGTCGTATATAACGACTGAGTCATAGTATACAAAATGTGAAGTCCAAACCATTTCACCTGATGTACTCCCAGTTCTGTTACTTCTCTGCCTATAAGACAGGCTTGGTGTAGTGAAATGTAAAACTGTCAAGGCTTCAAATTACAGCATGTGTTACCTTAGACAATTAGTGGCTTCCTTTTCCTTCCTTCACTCTCTGTGGTCTAAAACAGTAAAAGTGGACACTTGATGACTTTACATCTTGTCCACAGAAGTTTAACCTGGAAATGAAAATCAGATTTTTCCATTAAGAAAAAAGAAAGAAGCAGAAGAGATTTCCGATTCCACTTTGTCATACAAACTATTCTACTTCAAAGACAACTCCAAAAATGTACGACCGGAGTCAAAATTGCTGTTATGGTCTGGTTGAACAAAGAAGCAGATTCCTGTCATAGCAAAATTATATTATGTCAATTTAGTTAAGTCTATATTTTTTTTTTTAGATTAGCACCCATTGAAGTTTAAACTCACTCCATCTACCCACAAAAAGTTTAAAATATAAATAGTTTCAAGGTAGTACAAATGGTAGTGTGCATACTTGTAACTCCCTTGTAAGAGATCTGTGGCCCTAAAAACTTTAATAGCCTTCTGTATGTTAAGCCATGTGTGGCAAATAAAACTGTATAAATTAATTTGACATATTAGAAAAATATCTGTCTTCTCATATTTCCAAGTTTCAAGTATCATTACAGATGCGCCTATACTGTAGCGCTTGCCCTTCGTTTTCAGATTACTCATGTAATAAATAGAGAGGCTGACATCATCTTGCTCGCTCCATTAAGACAGCATTCTTCACATTCCACTGACAACAATAGATATTTTCTTGGCCGCTCTCTGACCGATCAACCTGTTTACACTTCCTTGTCAGATCACAATTATTCATGAGAATTGTCCAGAATGGTGAGAACAGGAAACGCGGTTTTCTCCGCAGCGTTCCTCAAATCCACAAACAGCCAGGAAAGCATCGCGGAACGATCTGAAGCGCACCAGCAAAACCCACAAGGGGGGTTTGCTCACTGTGGAGTAGAGGGACGCAAGAGGAAGCAGAGGAGACATGAGCTTGTACGCTATCTTCAGCTTCCACGACACCCACATACAAGCTCGTAGACACAGACACACACGCATCCAAACATCAAAGCGCTCGGATGAAGGCTACAGCATGAACTGAAGCCTAGTCAGTCAGATCCTGCTGTGTTGCTGGAAAGCAGCGAGCTTTGATGCAACATCTTAATAAATGCAGGGTCCCAGCTTGTGGTTTAGAGAATGGGTCCAAATAGCTTAAGAATGAGCTGCACCAAAGCAGTTGGCTTGTTGTGGGCTCCAGTTGCTGCCTGGCATTGCATAAGAGCTCAAGAATACAATGGTTTTTCAGCAACGCATGTTATAAATAAAACCACAGAGAGCATTTGATGACAGCGGCTTAACTCTACCTCAGATCCTCTACTGGAAATGTTTCTGACTGCAGACATCGTGCGACGTGTTTCAATTTTTGCCTACCATGCTTTACAGCGTCAATGCTTTCCCTTTAAAGAGTTTTCAACTTTTGCCAAATATAATCAGTAAGTAAGCATGAATAGGCCATCTGCAAGTATATAAAAGTGTAATATCTGCTATCTTGTGCAAGCACTATAATAAAAGGAAGGGTCTGATATTGCCGACATTAACAGTGTTGTATAAAAAAAGCAAAGCTGTTTGGTTTATTTCAGCTTTATGAAAAAAAAACAAAGCCCATATGGCATTGTCTTCATAGTAAAGACAGTTTTGTGTTATCAGCTGCACTCACCTGTTAAACTGCAACTGTCACACTTTTTATGGTGGTGACATTTTAGCTGGACTGGAGACATAGGGCCATAAAGCAGATAAGCGGGGGAATATTGAAGATGATTAGAAAGCATTATTGGCAGAAAAACTGATGTGCTAATGTGGATCAGTAATCCTGAACCAACTCAAAATGCGTAAATTGAATAAATGGGTGCAGCTCCTATAGAGCGCACACACAGATTCTGTTTAAAAACACCTCATTAAATCAGAAAGAGTCATCAACATCGCAGTGTCAACAAGTTACAGAATTAGCATCCGAGAGTCAAAAAAAAAAGGGGGGGGAAAGAGCTGCACGGCATATGGCTCAGTCAAGCCAATGCCATTGTGTCTCTGTGGACCCACTGGAGACACAACAGGTGTGTCAATATGACAAGCATTCAACCAATCCATCGTGTCTCCCTCATATAAACACTGAATAAATATAGATGCTCTCCATTTTCACTCTCAGCAGTGCACAGAAACAACAGATGAAATGCAAACACTTTGAGATCGTGCTGAGGTCAAGGGAAAATCACAGACTATTTAAGCGTGTCATCATCCGTTAAGTGATAAATATACACTTTTAGGAGGGGGGGAAAGGAGCTTTTGTTGCTTCTAGGTGACTAATATTTTAAGATTAATCAGACTCTAGTCACATGTACTTGGACACATTTGTTCCCTTTTCATATGCATAGCATGCACACCTACAAGAAAAAAAAACGGGGAAAAAATAACAGAGTTGATGGAGGAGTGCACAGTTCATATGCTCAGCACTGACTACAGTATTCAGTGTTTTGTCTTCAACAACCTGATTATCATATTTTCCAGAAGCCTCCTCCTCACGTGGGCAAATGTTGTTGCTGCACAGCAACAAGTTTTGTCATATCCACAGCGTTCACGTAGGAAGTCATTTTATTACACTATTACTGTAGTTTCCTCTTAACAAACGCTCGCATGATGCCAAACAGAATTTAGATGAACAGGTTGGAGAAAACTGGCTCGTGCCCTCCGCGAACAGACGATAGAAAAACGGTGCGTCGGACTGCCAGTCTCCCACCAGATGGTAAATGAGAGAGACACGGGCGATCGAACAACAAATACAACCGATGAGATTAATCAAAAAACAGCCAATGGATATGAGGGGGAAACTGAGGTAAAGAGTGGGCTCCAAAAATCCAAATAGGGATTCTTTTTCTTTTAAATATCCCCCGGAAGTCTTTTCAATGCAAATTCAGTAAATAAAATGTATAAATTGTATGTGATTGACATTATTTGTGCATTACACTGGCGTCTACGTCATCCTTAGTGGGTAAACCTGGAGGTTATTTATTTATTTTTTGCATCAAACGGATTTAAGATAAGACAAATCGTCAGTTTAATAGTTGGACGCATCACCGCTGCCAATTTCAGGCCATCAAATCAAATATTTTATCTCGAAAATGCGGGGCTCAGAGTCCTATTAAATGTAAAAGGCCGCGTGGAGAATAAATCAGTTTTACGCACGCGGGTGAAACCGCGCGTAGTCTCTCCGTGTGTGTTTGTAGGGTATCACACACACACAGAAAGAGAGAGAGAGCTCATTTGCATACAGCTGAATAGTTATGTCCCCGAGTCCTGTACACCCGCATGAGGGCGAGAGAGGGACACGCGCCGCAACAATAGGAGGCACGCTGCCATTAACCGTAAAAATACTTGGGTGGGCATGAAGGGGCGCACGCGCTGCAACATTAAACACAACTAGAATAAGATGTTCAGAAGGGAGAAAAAACAGAATGGAAACATAATACGTAATGTAGGTGGGTGTGCGTAAAATACATTTTTTATTGGAGCTGAGCAAAGGCCCTTTTTCTAAATTAAAGCAAGCGTGCGTTTTTAGTGGGATCATTTGGGTTTGGGAGTTGTAAGATATTGGCTCTTGTGCTTCTGGGTTTAGTCTGAAAAAAAGTAACATTCTGAAAACTCAAAAACAACTCAAAAGATTGTTCCCCCCTGTAATCGCATTTCTGCTTTCATTGTTTGTCTTACATCCCGAGGGAGGCGCACATGTGACCCCACAGAGAGTGGAGGGTCCTGGAAGGATAGCCCAAGTGTGCGAGGCTCCAGTGCTGCAGTAAGGGCTAATTAGGCGTGCAATTGAGTGGAACCGGGGGTTAAGGAAGGTACAAGGAGAGTAGGACAGTAATTGAATTTCTGCTCTCCATTCTCGAAGTTTCGGCTCTTCTGCGCTGTCCCCTCTTATTGTGCAAAAAAAAAAAAAAAAAAGTCTAAATGTGCGTCCTGCATATTGTGCGCTAAAAATAAGTCAGCAGATGTTGGGGGCTTGTTAATAATCGCCCGGTATCCATGGTGGTCAGTCATCTCTCTGCCAGTGGGTATTAAATCTGGATAATTGTTGGGGTGGAAAGAGAAGGGGGTTGAATATGTAAAGTGGGCGGTGCCAGTTGGGTGAGTGGCAGTTTATGTAATGAGCAGCGCAGTGGTAGTCTATATATCTGGGAGGAGACACACTAGGGTTCATTCAGTAGTAATAAGACGAGTGATGAACGTCCGTGGCGCACTGACGCACCGACTTGAGCACCAAAACAAGGTCTGAGCCGCGCGCACACAGAGGAGTTGACCATTGTGGAGTACAATATCATGCAAGGAGAGGACGCCTGCTGACGGAGTGAGACACAGCTGTGGATATTGGTCTTCCCTCACCTTTGGATAACTTGGAGATTGGAAACGCTTCTTCTGGACGCTTTTGACGCACGGCAACAAGGAGCTATTGAGGACTAATCGGGAGTGGAGGATTTATAGTGTTTCGTGGAAGGGTTTTTTTTAATACCCTATTTGTTTACCTCGGCGTCAATACTTCGGAATAAGAAGGTTTTGCTGCGTGAGTGGCTGGTGACGCGGCTGCCCTGGAGAAACAAGAAGGATGGCAGCCTGGTTCACCTTTACCATCGCATTTAGCACCACGTTAATATCACAGGTATGAAAGAGGATGTACATCTCCTTGGTGGTCCTGAGACCTCGGCGAAACCAGATGGAGAGCCGACTGTTTAATTTTTTCCCCCCTCTTTTTTTTTAAATAACAGAATAAGCTTCATGTAGCTGCACGACGTTTTCTTAAATAATATTTCCTTCTCTTTTAGGTATTTGGATCCGGAGTTTTTGAGCTGGATCTCCACGAATTTAAAAACCACAAAGGTCTGCTTGCAAACGGAGATGCATGCAAACCCAACTGCAGGACTTATTTTAGAATTTGCTTGAAGAACTATCAGGCTGTGGTCTCTCCAGGTGACTGCATCTTTGGAAGTACAATGACACCAGTGCTGGGGACAAACTCTTTCAGCGCCAAGGACAGTGGCACTTTACCTACACCGATTCAAATACCCTTCAACTTTGGCTGGCCGGTAAGGGCGTGGAGCAGCACATCCACTTTATTTGTTTCACTACTATTATGCTATTATGTTGTTTTCGGGGAACTGCTATGCATTTTGGGAGCGCACCGATTATTGGTCAGCTAGTCTAATCCATATCATTAGGTAATACTCTTTCGACTAACAGATTGGACTGCTGCCATGTCGTTCATTTCAAAATCCAGAAAGGCTCTCGTGATCACTGTGACACATATTTGCTCGTGCAGTCTTAAGTCTGATTTGAATTTCTCTTCTCAATTAGCAGGAGCCTATGAAATACAAAAATAAGCAAGATTTAGGCTCTCGTCTAAATTGCGAGCACTCTTTTTTAATGGCTATAGTCTTTGTAGCATGTATTAACGGTATATGTTTTCTCTTTAGGGGTCCTTTTCATTAATAATTGAAGCCTGGCATTCACCTTATGGAAACCTACCTGTAGGTAAGTGCAGCCTTTTTTACCACAGGAGGGAGCTCTGTCTGTAGGTTTAACACACTCCAGTCGGTTTACAATTTTTGCACTCTTAACATGCACAAAAGCAGAAAACAAATTGGGCTATTAAATGCTGTTTAGTCACTGAAGTGTTCCCCCTCCACCTCCTGTTAATTGTTCATCATTTCAGACAATTTTCACGCCTATTCATGCCTTTGTTATGAACTTCAGAACACCTTTTTCATTCTTATACCCAATACAATTGAACTTCCTCTAGTTTATTTTTGGCGTGGGAAAGAGCTGTGGGCTTTGGTGAGAATACTCAGTGCCTGCCAAAAGCCCCTGACTACATCTTCCTGTATTTTACACCTTACTCTGTTCTGCCCTTTGGAAGAGGGGACTGGGCCTGGGAATGTTTTTGCTGACGGAAAGAAAGAGGAAATTTCAACCTGAGTTTATCTTTCATCTAAGCTGTATGGGATTTGATAAGGGATGCAGCTTGGCACTGGGCAGATTATTAAAGCAAAAGTGGATGACTTTTGACCTCGCAAGCCATTTATGATGCATAAGTGACATAAAACCATAATCAATCCAGGACATGGGCAGGTTTAAACTCTAAACTTCCTCCATTAGTTCTGACTTCCTCTTCCTTCTCCTCTTTTTTCTTCTTCTTCATCTTCTTTCAGAAACCAACAACCAAGACGCTTTGATTAGCCTCTTTACCATCCAAAGACAACTTGGTGTAGGAACTGACTGGTCTCAGGATACACTGGCCGATGTGCAGACAGAGCTGAAGTATTCGTACCGATTCATCTGCAATGAAAGTTACTACGGAGAAAGTTGTTCCAAAAAGTGCACGCCCAGGGATGACCGATTCGGCCACTACACCTGCACCCGTGATGGACAGCTATCCTGTCTGCCCGGCTGGAAGGGGAAATACTGCGAAGAACGTAAGCAACCAGCTACATAATCTTTATGTTTCACAACTGTCTGGCTCACTTGCTATCAGTAGTCTGTTCTTGGTGATCACAGTCTGTAGTTGCTTCAACTCAATCTGATTGTAATTAGTTTTTGGATAGTGTTCTGCAGGATTTGGTGGACAGGCCTTACCTTAAAGTGGTTAACTGTCCAATACTCTGATGAATCTGTTTCCACTCTGTGCATCGCCCTTTGCTCTTCATAATCATTATAATGGTTTCTGCCTATAGAGAGAAATGCATAAGTTTGATATCAGCTGTTGCTAGTATGTGAGTAGTGTAACCCATAGGTCATCATCCTCAAGGCCACAGGATGTTTGAGTGCTATAACTAGACATGACCTCATGATATCTGGCAAGTCTGATAGGCAATTTTGGTGTGGAATGCATTTTTCATAGCTGTTTGCTTCATATAATTTGTAATCATGTAATTCTGACGTGCAATTGGTGGGTTTGTGGGTACTCATTGAATATATGGGTTTTCTTGGCAGGGGCAGGCTTAGCACGACAACAGGCACATTATACTTGTGCAAACCCACTTGGCCAGATCGTGCACCAGCACTCCCAAGATTTGGAAAGTTCTGAATGAGCCTATGAGGAGGCTCGATGCCATTTGGCTCCACAATACAAAGGGCCCCCTTTCACCAAAACAAATTAATCAAAGAGTAGATTGGAAGGAGGCACCGTGAGAGTAATAGTTACCATGTGCTGGATATGTGGCCACACGGGTGACAGCGGATCTGTCATCCATGTCACTTGGCGGTGAAAGAGAAATTGGCATGTGCTATTTTGACTGTGGCGCCAAATTCTAACCAGATGGGCTCACGTGTTGCAATTACACACACATCAATCGCCACTGACTACAGAAAATATACATGAGAAAGACAGATTGGGCATCTTTCAGAGGCCATAATTTGCCTTCTCGCTCACACGCTCCCATACATAAATTTTAACAAGCCCGGCCGTGTAGAGTTTGAAGGAGCTTAGTAGCAAACACATTAATGCAGAAACACACTCTGTGGACACTTGCGCACAGTGGTAGTAGTAGTAGTCACGTGACACAAATAGCTGGCTAACTTAAGCTAAGTCTACGCGTATTAGCGAACATTTACCTGCCGTTTCTGTCCAGGTAAGTTAAAGGAAGAGCTGTTAATTTCTGTTTACTACTGTACCTTCAGAAAGCGCGTGCCCGGTAACTTAATCTGCAGGAGAGAGGGGAGGGCGCGAGGGGGTGCGCGCGCGGGCATTGATAGAAGGAGCCCAGGCGGACTGCACGCGCCAAGGTTAATCGCAGCATTATTATCCGCCACGCGCCACCGATGTTTAGTCCCCTTCCATTGTTGGGCGCGCGGTAGTGGCAGCTGCAAATATGGTTCTGGCAGACCACAAACAACAATAGTGACAGCTGTCTGCTATTGAGAGCGAGCATCTGTTCTGGACTAAACCGGCCGCTTACTGTCAGTCGCCTGATATGTTGCCCCGGCGAATCAGTGTCATGACCGGTACACTTAAAACAGCACAAACAAACTCTCACCCACACACACACACGCACACACACACAAACGACCCACCCAGTGGCAGCTGTGGGTGTGGCGGACAGGTTTAGATCAAATGGAGGCTTCTGAGGAAAGTTGAGCCTCACCAAGGCCCCGTGCACTTTAATATACAGAGCTTACAGTTGGCTATTTCAAGGAAAGCCTTGGTTGTTGTGTGCCTAATGGCAGTGCAAGGAGTTTGTGTGACATTTTAGCTTATGGTTTATTTTTAACAGTATGGAAAATGTGAAATTGTCACGCCTGATGTATTGTGTCAGGAGGAACAGGTGGACAACAGGCAAAGAACAGTAAAAGAGCAGCAGCCTTACTGTAAGTTTCATTTTTTTTCTCTCTCTTCTTTCTGCTTGTAGCTATCTGTCTGGAGGGTTGCAGCGAGAGGAATGGAAACTGCACCAAACCTGGCGAGTGTGTGTAAGTATTAATAATTGCAAGTGTTGAAATATGTGTTGGCTGTTAGGAAAGGAGCACATATGGGCACAGCGTCAGCTCCTTTCATGTGGAAGGCCTGGGTTGTTTTTCACTCAAATTCTTCACTCAGCTGCCTCCCAGTTTATGTGCAACAAAAGCACTTTTATTATCCGAGGATCCACATGAGCTGAAATATTTCCATATGATTCATTAAGTGAGGCTGAAGTTCACGTCAGCGTTTCGGTCCGCGCCCTCTCTTCACAGCATCACTCACTGACTTCTCCGCTTCCCATGTTCCCTCCTTGTCACTGCCCTATCTCACTCACCAGCGTGGATAATTCACACACACACACTCACCCACTCGCTGTGAGAAACTCCTCCTGATTTTTTATTTTTGCCCTCTTTTTAGACACAAATCCACCGTTCCCACCACTAAAACCATTCCAGATTGAGGTTAAATCCTTTAGATACCAGTAAAGCTGCTCCCATGTCTCTGCGCACTAAGTAACAGCAAAATGTTTTAACCTTTAAAAGAGCATCTTAAGTCCCACGATCTTAGGAACCTTTAGGAAGCATCTTAATCTTTAAAAAAATATTTTTCCTCGGGTATTATTATATTATAATTAGTAATCTTTAAACACAATAAAGATCGCCGCTTCCAGCCCCACTCTTAGCATTAACTTCTACACATGCTGTACATACATTGTACAACCTACATGTACAAATAAAGTGCACTTTCACTGAGTGATGAGCGATGAACTAACAAGGTTTTACTACTGCAAGATCTCACTTTTAGCCAAGTGAAAGTTTGTTTGTTTGTTTTTTTCAGATTTCTGTGATGCATTAATTAATCATCTAATGATTGTGTCCAACTGTGGTATGACGCAGTTACTGATGTTAACCGATTTCTTAATATTAACATGCAATTAATCTGTTACAGGGATATTTAATCTGAGTTATTTGATGGCTTAAGACTGCAATCACAACACTTTTAGCATGAGAAAAAAACAAAGACGAATGTTTTAAATGTATTTGGTTTTTGTTTTAATTTTTCAGATGCAGAGATGGCTGGCAGGGCACGTTCTGTGACGAGTGCAGGAAGTACCCGGCCTGCAAGCACGGTACCTGCCAGCTGCCGTGGCAGTGTAACTGTCAGGAGGGCTGGGGAGGCCTATTATGTGACCAAGGTACGCCAGACAACTTGGCTCACTGCTGCTATTCCTTTTTAAAAAGATGCTCTCATATTACTTGCACCCTGTTTTCATTTGAATTAACTTGAAAGCATTAGTAAATTAGGTTTCCTCTGAAGTGTTCTATTCATAGCTTTCTACACATCCGGGGGTAGATAGTTTGTGTGTGTGTGTGTGTGTGTCCTGCAGACACCCTGTAAACAAACACTCTTCTCCTCTCTCCCCCAATCCAGACCTGAACTTCTGCACCCATCACCATCCCTGCTTGAATGGCGCCACTTGCATGAACACTGGCCAGGGAAGCTATACGTGTACATGCTTGCCAGGCTTCACGGGGGTCAAATGTGAGCTGGAGATGAAGGAGTGTGACAGCAACCCCTGCAGGAATGGGGGGACATGCACAGTAAGTAGGAAACTGAGCGGTGCATGCCCACCTTTAGGTTTCAACATTCGCTGCTGATCATACTTACTCACCGACTTGTTTTTATTTCCATTTCTCAAGAATCTGGAGAGCGGCTACATGTGCACCTGTCCCCAGGGCTTCGAGGGTTCCCACTGTGAGCACAGCCTGCTGACCTGTGCCGACTCCCCCTGCTTCCACAAGGGGAAATGTAAGGAAAAGGACAACGGGCGCAGCTACATGTGCGAGTGTCCCAGAGGCTACACCGGGCTCAACTGCGAGAAGAAAGTGGACAAGTGCACGTCGCTTCCCTGCGCTAATGGTACAGTCTTCCTTTCCTCTTTGCCCCCCCCCCTTTTTTTTTTTTCTGAACTTCCCTTTCCCCCCCACTCCAATTCCTGCCACTGGAACAACAGGAATTGGTGGGAACTTGGTGTCTATTGTCCTCCGTGTAAACACTCAGCAGCTTCGAGCAGCAGCTTGTAAATGTCACCACAGCTTGCTGTGGTTGTTGATGAAAGGGGACAAATATCCAGCGCAGTTCAATTTCTGTCCTCATGTAAACACAGAGCGCTCAGGGATTGTTCTGCGCTGGGAGAACAATATGCAGCACTGCGGTCACACTGTGGATTCAGTGGAAATGTGTGAACTCAAGCAGCCTCGCGGGAGGGATTACGGAGATTGTGTTCTCTGTCTTTGATTTTGAAATGCCTCAGCGTCGAAACGTCTCTCACTCTGTTTGCTAATGGTAGCTTCTGAGTTTCCTCCGAACCTGTGTTCGTTGACGCTTATGATCTACATCCGCTTTCTCTTTTTTTCATAGGAGGTCTGTGTCAGCTCCATGGTGGCATCCGTGTGTGCAGCTGCCGCGCAGGGTTTACCGGCCAGCGCTGCGAAATCAACATCAACGAGTGTGCTGGAAACCCCTGCCTTAATGGAGGCACCTGCCAGGACCGAATCAACGACTACACCTGCATCTGTCCTGCCGGCTACGGCGGGCGAAACTGCGACCGGATCCTGAACGAGTGTTCCCTTCGGGCCTGCCTCAACGGGGGTACTTGCAGTGGGGGAGGTGGGCCGGGCAAGTCTCCAGCAACTTGCAGCTGCCCCGCTGGCTTCACTGGACCCCAATGCGAATATTTCGCCGTCACCTCTCCTGTGACCACCGGAGAGAACAAAGATGGTTTCCAGTGGGCGGCGGTTTCTCTGGCTGTTGGGCTGGTGGCACTACTGGTGGTGCTGTGCATGGTGGTCTTGGCCTTGAGGCACATCCACAGGCAAGCCCAGAGGCAGCGAAGAGAATCAGAGACTATGAACAACTTGTCCAGCAGTCAGAGGGATAACCTGATCCCAGTGTCCCAGCTCAAAAACACCAACCAGAAAATCAGCCTGGAAGTAGACTGTGACTCAGAGAAATCAAACTTTATTCATAAAAACTATCACTTGGAGCCTTACAACTCGAAATCAAAGGAGTTCAAGGACGAAAAGTCACAAGAGGATAAAAGTCTTATTTATGACAAGGGTTTAGACGATAAAATGCCTTTGAGTAGAGTGTACAGGTAAGAGAAAACATCTTTGCATGTCTTTATACTCTCGTCTTGGCTGCGATAATGTCTGTTAAAGAACTATTTATTCCACTCACATAGATAGTGTGTATATATACAGGGCTCTGCTGAGTAGAAATGACTGTTATGTATGATAAGCCTCTGTCATGTAATCCTCATTTGCACCCAATAGTGGGCCCCCCAACCATACATTGCTCTTCATCCACAGAGTTTATATTGTGGATGAAGTGCTTAGCTATGTACCGCACACTCTTCTTTGCTGCTTCGCCGCATGTGTATACACCTAACGCATAGTTCTGCCATGTGCTTGTAGTTTACGTTAACACAAAGTGTGATTTGTGTTTTGCAGCGAAAAGCCAGAGTGTAGAATATCTACAATATGCTCCTCGAGAGACTCCATGTACCAGTCGGTATTTGTTATAGCGGAAGAGAGGAGGGAATGCGTCATAGCGACTGAGGTAAGGCAAAAAAATAAATAAATAAGTGAAATAAAATCACATCTTCATCAGCATTGCCTCAGATCCTCTATTTGACATCCATTAGGTTGTCTCAAGTGCACGACTCCTCACTAGTACACCAACATTCATAGGAGAAGATGAGACTGTTTTTCCCTGTTTTTTTGGTAGTCTGACCTAAGCTGGGAGGGGAAACGCGATCACATGCATTATTGGTTTCTATAAATTATGCTAGCTACACTTTATCTTGGCCATATGATGACCTAAAGTGAGAACCTATAATGATTTCTCGCACATGTTTGGCTCTGCTCGGTCTCAAAGGTGCTATGTTTTAGTGCTGTGGCTTTAAGTGGAATTTTTTGGATGTTTACTTCCAAGCAAAACATAACAGCGATACCGGTGCGTTTGAGCTAAAGGAGTGCTCATGGAAACGGCTTTTAATTTGCTGTTTTTATGTTGTTCAAATTATTTGGTGTAACTCCATTTTTTTCTCTCTTTTATCCCACAGGTATAAACTGTGAGTGTCAGAAGGCAAGGGAACGAGGGGGGAGGAGACACAATCAAGGCAGAATGTAAAATTCTGGATTGTTTACAAATGCTGAGAAGAGACTGGAGATCATTTTAGATGTTCACTGCTGCTCTGGAACACTTGAGAACTGGAGAGGGCAGAAAAGTCTGCTCTGCAAAAAGGAAAGAAAAACAAAAACAACAACAAAAAGGACAGAATTGAAAAACTTTGACCGAGTGTTTGTATGCAACACATGTACAGTGAAGGACCTCTCTCAGTCGCGACAATGGTTAATTGGACTGGCAAAAAAAATAGACTGACTGCACGAGGTGTGACGACAGCATCAGTGAAATTATTAAACTTCTAACCTTGGCCATCCTGGACAGTAAAAAAAAAAAAGAGAGAGAGATATAGGGTGGATTGTCGCCCTGTGTATCTGACCTGGCCTTGTGTGATAATCATGATGACTTTGACAGCCAACCAATCAGTAAAAAAGAAAAGGTGCCTAAAAATTTGACCACTCCAAATCCGCCCCCCCACCTTTCTCCTTCTTTACAGCCAGCTTCGCCTGCTATGCAAGACTCAGGGTCTAGACGAGTGAACTCACCCCGTGTCACAATCCAACCTCACCACCGCTGAGTTCTGAATGTCTGAAACTAATCTTCAGCCGTCAATCACGTGGAAAAAAAGAAATTTGGGGGGGGTTGGACACGTCATGCGCAAGGGTGAAGATCGTATGCAGCCCAAATTCACTAGAAGCCTTAAAAAAAAACGGGGTTTGAATGCTCAGTTGTGTTCCCCTGTCTGTCCTTGGATCGATTTGCACTACCAAAATAAATAAACAAAAACAATGGGGGAAAAAAATACTTTGAAAATCAACAGAGATTTGAAGAGAAAACCACAGGAGCGCAACAGTCAGTGCAGTGCCAGCACGATCCAAGAGAAAGGGAAAAGTTTGCGCATAGAAAAAAGGTGTTGGGGTTTTTTTTTTTTGTTGTTGTTGTTCTTTTTAATGCAACTGAAAACAAGAGACTCAAAACGAGAAGAAAAAGACTGTCACACCACTGCCTGCCTATAATGAATTTCAAAAGTACAGAACCAATAATGTAATTTTTTTTAAATGAGTATTTCCAGAGTTTTAATTTAAATATGACACACTGCTCTTTATATGTTTTATAATGTTATTTTGTATATAATGCATATTTATAAGGACCAAACTTCTGTAGAATAAAAAATTCTGTGAAAATTTCTGGAAAGAAATTATTTATGAGGCCTTTTTTTTTTTCTTTTACATTATTGACCGTGTGTGTCTAGTATTTATTTATATCTGTTTAGCTTCATTTCAGCCAACAGCATTGGTTTAATCAGCGCTAACTGCTCTCCTGCAGCAACACAACATCACATATAATGTTTTGGACATTTGGTAAATGAAAGTCCTTGAATGTAGTATGTCTACCTCGAGTAATTCCTGGAAATGCTGTTGGCTCTGGCCCCACTCACTCAGCCACCCACCCACCCCCTTGTTTCTCTCTCTCCAGCCCTAAATTGGCTTGAAATTCAAATCCGTTTCCACGGATACCACCCCCTCGAGCTGGAAATGGTGAAACAAAGCCCGGTGCGGGGCAAAAGGGGGAATGCCTCCCCACCACCACTACTCTTTTCTCTCTCACCCCTCCCTCCTCATAAAGCTCGTGCACGCATCCGTGCGCACACGCGCGGCCGTCCAAGCAGATGCCGTGGGGGAGCGCGGTGTGAGTCTGCAGTGCCATAAAAACAGCAGCATATGCCAAGCCTCTCAGCCTGTGCGCACGACCCACAGAGACCTCCTCTCATAAAAAATACACTCAGGCACTTGCAGGCTCCCCAACTGCTCTTCCTCCCCTTCAGGGTTAAGAGCAATATTTCAATGCCCGGTTCCGTACCACCCACTCCTCTGCAAACAAAGCTGGAGAGAGGACCTGGCACCAGCAGAGAGGAGGGTGAAACCAGATGGAAGCCAGCGGATCTGCGAGGATACCACATAAATAAATAAGTCAACTTTTCTAAAATAGAGATCTTTATCAGAGTACTCTTCTTCGTCTTACTACCATTTACCGTCCTCATCTATTTGGAAAATAGCCACTGTTCCATACAGTTTGGAAGAGCGCTTAAGGATCAGTGTTTTTTATTATTATTCTTTTTATTTTGTCTTTTTTCCTTTCTCTCTCTCTCGCTGTCTGTGTGTGTGTGTGTGTGTGTCATGCACATTATCAGAATCTCTCCTGACTCCAATTAACACAAATGCTGCAACAGCGAACACCCCTCTAATCAGCAGCAATCAACACTCCGCAGAGAATCTGGATGGTTTTTCCCTCACACACACACTCATCCTGTCAGCCCGTTGACCTAGGCATCCTCATCCTCAGCTAGTGTGTGTTCATTAAAAAAAAAAGAAAAAAAAGAAAGGAGTTTGGAAAGGGGAGCTTCCGCACATGCTCGGAAAAAACATACGTGCTATCACAGTGATGAATCACCCAGTTAAAGGCCTCTCGCGCTGTGGTCATCTGTTACCTGACCCAGCCTGATAGCGCTTCCCACCGTCCCCACACTCACACCTACGAGCAGGAGCGCTCTCTCATCCACACTCCGTCGCACATGCTAAGGCTCTGCTCTTTGGCCTCTCGGTGTCCATAACACAGCCAGGCATTTTCATTGTGTTATAATCACAGCATCCTGTTTGTGACCCGGTGACATCAGTTCCTGTTTCCTCTCTGATTAAAAAAAAAAAAAAAAAAGCAGAACATGCCACTGCATGCTGACTGCTTTTCTCACGCATCGTTTTCATTTCGTTCTGTACTTAGCTCGCACACATGACTCGGGCTCCTCGGGCTCTCAGGAAACATCCTCAAAACAAGCCCGGGCCCAGACAAACACACTAATCAGTGCAATTTATTCCCAATCTAGGAAAAGGGAAGAAAATAAAATGTATAAATTGATGTGTGAGCAAAGCAGATGTTGAAAGTTGCAGGTTGTCTTTCTTTATATAGCTGGAGCTCTTGTGGTTTGTTAAAATCCTTAAGTGGCTTCAAACAGCATGAGTTTGTTGTTGTTGGCCTATGTGTCCTTGCCCTGCCCTGTTGAGGTGAGCCTGATCCAAATATTGATAGTATCGATACCAACCCTGG